ATCTCTTCGTTTCTGTGTTGGCGTCGATGTATGTGATCGATTCGTGTTCAGATTTGTTCAGTGTCCCGAGGGGGAGCTACAGAAGAGAAAGGAAGTAGTCCATACGGTGAATCTGCATGAGGTGGATGTTATCAATTCTCGTACACAAGGATTCCTGGCCTTGTTCGCCGGCGATACTGGTGAGCACGGAGGAGAGCATTTACTGTTTGTTGGAGTTATTTATTCGCGACTACGCCCGTTGAGCTTCCAAGACACATACCATTTGGGAGAGTGTCGTTCATGTATTTCGCGGAAAATGGGAAAGTTATCTATTAGAATCTTGTATCGAGTATTGGCGGAAATTGTTCTGGACTGACTGTTAGTAGCTGGAAAAAGCTCGAAAAAAGTCTGTGCTGGGAATCGAACCTGTGGTCATTACGTACAATCCGAGTTTCGTTCAGATGTGAGATTATTGAAGATTTTTATTCTCTTGAAAGATGCGATTTGTGAGAATTTTGGTGACATTTGACAGTTTTCGTGGTGAGTGTTGTATTATACTTTTTGTGATTTTATGAAATGGAGTTATTGTCATTGACGAAGACCTTTGGTTCAGGCGAGATTAAATCGGAAGTTCGAGAGCAGATCGATGCTAAAGTGGGGGAATGGAAGGAGGAGGGCAAGGCTGACGTTATTCCTGGCGTATTGTTTATCGATGAGGTAAGGATAGTTTATAGGGAGTGTGGACACTGAGGCTCATTAGGTTCACATGTTGGACATAGAGTGTTTCTCCTTCCTCAATAGAGCGCTGGAGCAGGAGACATCTCCAGTGGTGATAATGGCGACTAATAGGGGAATTACTAATATAAGGTAGTGTATACGGATTTGGGTGGGAGAGCTTATCCGTCTCCTCCTTCTGGGCATGGGTCAATGATTGTATCTACCAGCGATTGCTCGAGTTCATTTTGCTCTGCTGTTTTTGTCGAATGAGTGTATATGTGCATCCCTCTTGGTTCGGTTGGTAGTGATTTTGAACTAGTTGAGGTTGATGGAATTTCTGATGGTAGTTGCGTACCATCTTTACGATTATTAGGGGAACTGATTACAAGTCGCCGCATGGCATTCCTCTGGATCTGTTGGATAGGATGCTCATTATATCGACAGTGCCGTACACGGAGAAGGTAAGGGGGGAGATGGGAGGAGGACTAAGCTGTTATTGATTGATCTGTTGAGGAGGGCTTAGCGCCCGTGTGGTAATATATGTTTGGTTTGCTCAACTGAGCTTGAAAATTT